GCGACTGAGCAACCGCGCCGATCCCGAAGCATCCGAAGCAAAGAAGCTCAGAGTCTTGATGCGTGGCGTCAAGGAAAACATTTTCGGTGGTCTTGTGCGGAGCCCGCCTACCACCGTCGAAGGCTTCATGACGGAGGCCACCAACATAGAACGTGCCCTTCAAGCACGAGCCACCCACTATCACCGAGTTCCCGGCGTCGGTTCCTTTTCGCCTTCCGGCTGCAACACCACGGACATCCGCGAGATGATCCGAGACGTCGTCCGGGAAGAGATCAAGAAACTTCTACCTGCCGCCGCAAGCCCAGCTTCGCCCTCAATCGCCGAGATTGTCAGGGAAGAAGTCCAGCAAGCGCTGCAGCCTGAGGTTCTCGTCAGCACCGCTCCGGAACCACCGACGTTGAGTTACGCCGCAGTGGCCCGACGCCCACCGCCTCCTCGTCGCACCTATGTCACGCCGCCCCGACGTCAGTCTCCTCCGCCGCAGCACGACCGACGCCACGACGACCAGGTCCAGTACGCCTGCCCGGAGCTTCGCGCACCCCGCAAGACCGACGTGTGGCGAACGCCCGACCGACGCCCTTTGTGCTTCCATTGCGGGGAAGCGGACCACACCTACCGCCGATGCCTATACCGACGACTCGGGCTACGCGGGTTTCACCCGAACGACCCGCGCCCCCGTCATGGTGAACGCCCTATCGAGATCGACGAGTACCTGCGACGACCTCAGTCCCCCGAGCCTGCGTCCCGCCGAGAGTTCCGGTCGCCGTCACCGCGACGTCCAGCTTCGCCGATGCACCGACCACGACGTGAAAGCCTGTCCCCCCTCACTCCTCGCCGGGGAAACTAGGCGCGGCAACCCCTGGAGGTGGAGTTGCCGAAGACGACCGACGCCAAGATCCTCCACGAACGTCGGGGGGCCCCCACTCGAACGCTACCAGAGACCAAAACGACGCCGCTGCAGTGGTGTCCAATAACCTAAACGTCGTCATCGACGGCCACGACGCATCTGCACTCGTGGACACCGGAGCAGACTACTCAGTCTTGAGTGGGAGGCTCTCCCGCCGCCTTCGAAAAGTCACGACGCCGTGGGATGGACCTCAAATACGAACCGCCGGAGGGCACCTCATCAAACCCATCGGGAGATGCACTGCTCGCGTCGAGATCCGCGGTGAAACGTGCCCTGTGAAGTTCATCGTTCTACAAGACTGTTCCAGAGACGTTATTCTCGGCATGGACTTTCTGTGTGAATACGGCGCCGTCATCGACCTTGGTGAGAACAGATTGACGCTGCGCAAGCCCGTTCCGTCTTCAGAGAAACCTCAAACAGCGTCAGCCGCCGTCCGAGTCGCTGCCGACCACGTGAACCTGCCGCCGCAATCAAGTGTTGTCGTACCCGTAGTGGCCGATGTAGCTACCTGCGGCGAAGTTGTTCTTGAAGGCAACCTTCAATTACTCTTAGAAAGGGGACTAGGCGTCGCAAGAGGAGTGGCTGAACTTCAGGATGGGCGCACCGTGGTCTTCGTGACAAACTTTCGACAAGAAGCGCAACACCTCACGAAAGGTGCCGCTGTAGGCCACGTCGAGGAAATTCGGAACTCCGCCGAAATCGCCGCGATTGCTGAAGAATCATTCCCACCTAAGCAACACATTACGGCGCCAGCACAGCTCGACATTGACCGCAAGCTTCCAGGCCCGAAACGACGGCAGCTAAGTGACCTTCTCGCCGAATACAGTGACTGCTTCGCGACGTCGTCGAGGGTGCGCCAAACCACCATTGCGAAACACCGCATCGTTACCGAGGACGACGTGCGCCCTGTGCATCGATCGCCGTACAGAGTCTCCGTTAAAGAAAGGGAGGTGATCGAGGAGCAAGTGCAAGAGATGCTGAATGACGACATAATCCAACCCTCAAGCAGTCCGTGGGCCTCTCCAGTTGTACTGGTTAAGAAGGACGGAACGCTTAGGTTCTGCGTGGACTACCGGCAGCTGAACGCAGTGACGAAGAAAGACGTCTATCCACTCCCCCGCATCGACGACACGTTAGAACGGCTGCGCCACTCCCGATACTTTTCATCCATGGACCTGAAGAGCGGCTACTGGCAGATCGAAGTCGACGAACGGGACCGAGAGAAAACAGCTTTCGTCACGCCAGATGGGCTGTACGAGTTCAAGGTGATGCCCTTCGGACTGTGTACGGCTCCAGCAACTTTCCAGCGTGTCATGGACACCGTACTGGCAGGATTGAAGTGGCAGAGCTGTCTCGTCTACCTCGATGACGTCGTAGTGTTTTCCAGCGACTTCGACGAGCACTTGCGACGACTCCGAGCAGTTCTCCAAGCCATACGGACCGCCGGACTCACCCTGAAGCCGTCAAAGTGTCGGTTTGCCTATGACGAACTGAAGTTTCTAGGTCACGTGGTTAGTAACGAAGGCGTTCGCCCCGACCCAGAGAAGACTCGCGCCGTCGCAGCATTTCCAGTACCGACAGACAAGAAGGCCGTGCGAAGGTTTCTTGGACTATGTGCCTACTATCGGCGCTTCATCCGGGAGTTTGCTAGGATTTCCGCACCACTCACAAACGTTACAAAGGACGCCGAGAAGTTCGAATGGGCCGAGAAGCAGCAGCAGGCATTCGACGAGCTGAAGCGACGACTGCAGACTCCTCCTGTTCTAGGACATTTCGATCAAGATGCGGAAACCGAAATTCACACGGACGCAACTAACGCTGGACTTGGCGCTCGGTACTGGTTCAAGTGCAAGACGGCACCGAGCGAGTTATCGCCTACGCAAGTCGGACACTGTCCAAGGCGGAGAAAAATTACTCCACGACTGAGAAAGAATGCCTTGCTGTCGTCTGGGTAATCACGAAGTTTCGTCCGTATTTGTACGGGAGCCCGTTCCGTGTAGTCACGGACCACCACTCGCTCTGCTGGCTTGCGAACCTCAAGGACCCGTCAGGACGCCTCGCTCGATGGAGTCTACGACTACAAGAGTTCAACATGACTGTGGTCTACAAGTCAGGCCGCAAGCACAGCGACGCCGACTGCCTGTCCAGAGCCCCCATCGAAACACCTTCCGGCAGCAGCAACGACGAAGACGACGAGTGCTTCCTAGGTGCAGTGAACACCGACGACATGTCACGACGTCAAAGAGACGATCCTGAGTTGCGCGCGCTAATCGAGCACCTCGAAGGACGAGGGGGTACTGTCCCCCGTGTCTTCTCGAGAGCCCTGCCGACTTTCGTCCTCCGACAAGGTGTACTTTACAAGTAGAACTTCTTCAGAGACAACAGCACACCATGGCTGCTGGTAATCCCCACCGACCTTAGAGCGGAGATCTTCCAAGCCTGTCACGACGACCCGACGTCCGGACACCTTGGTTACAGCCGTACGCTGGCCCGAATTCGTGGAAGGTATTACTGGCCCAAGCTGCCGAAGACCGTTCACTTCTACACACGGTCCTGCCACGAGTGCCAGCGACGCAAGAAACCGCCGACGAAGCCGGCAGGTCTCCTGCATCCGATCGCTCCCCCGACCGTACCGTTCCAGCAGATCGGAATGGATCTACTTGGTCCTTTTCCACCATCGACGCAAGGAAACAGATGGATTATTGTCGCCACAGATTATCTCACACGGTATGCCGAAACGAAAGCCCTTCCTGTAGGGACTGCTGTGGAAGTCGCCAAGTTCTTTATCGAATCCATCGTCCTCCGGCACGGCGCTCCCGAAGTTTTGATTTCTGACCGTGGATCATCGTTCATGGCCCAGCTGACGCAAGAAATCCTTCGTCTCAGCCACACCAGCCATCGGCGCACAACGGCGTACCACCCGCAGACCAACGGGCTGACGGAGAGACTCAACAAGACCATCGCCGACATGATCTCCATGTACGTCGACGTGGAGCACAAGACATGGGACGAGGTGTTGCCGTACGTCACATTTGCCTACAACACGGCCGTGCAAGAGACCACCGGGGTGACACCCTTCCAACTGGTTCATGGTCGTAAAGTAACGACAATGCTGGACGCGATGTTACCCCACGAACCGGCTCTCGACGGAAGCGACGACGCCCAGGCGGTTGCCCAACGGGCAGAAGAAGTCCGCCAGCTCGCCAGACACCGTATTCAAGCCCAACAACGTGTCGACACTGGCCGCTACAACCTTCGTCATCGGGACGTCCACTTCCAGCCCGGAGACAGGGTGTGGGTGTGGACACCGATCCGCCGCCGTGGTCTCAGTGAGAAACTCCTAAAGCGCTACTTCGGACCCTACAAAGTACTTCGTCGACTCGGGGATCTGAACTACGAGGTGATGCCCGACGGAACACGGACTTCATCACGCCGCGCTCCACGACCGGAAGTCGTCCACGTCGTGCGCCTCAAGCCGTACTACGCGCGATAAGACTGCGAACTGTGATCTTGTGCACCGCTTGATAGGATTGTGTTTTGCGAGCCTCCGTATGTTCCCAATTTTTTGTTTGTTTCGCTCTGTTTTGTTGCCTTTTACGTGGCATCGAGACGATGTCTTTTTAAAGGGGGGAGTAATGCCACGCTCGTCAGCGAGCGACCGCGCGCGTGGCCGAGTGGTTACCGTGCTTGACTGTCGTGCAGAAAGACTGGGTTCGATTCCAGTCAGTGGAATGCTCTTTTATTTGTTCTTTCATTGCGTTCTCGTGAGGTCGAGAACATTCTCGTCAGATCGAGTTCTGAATGTTCCAGTCGCCGAACAATCTAGGCCGATTGTTCCAGAACCCAACGCGCGTACATAAGGGGCTCCGCGTGGCGAGCCACAGTCAGTTTTCGCCCAGCGTTCGACTCTGCTGCTACGCCGACTTCGACGCCCGCGACGCTCCGTTATTATCTTTTGTACCCTTTTATTTTTGGCACAAGTTCGCCACATTAAACGTTTATTTCTTTCTGTCTATTTATTGTTTATTGGTCACCACCCGTGACAATATACTCAGCTGAAAACAAAACGCGAGCAATATCAAATCTTACTCACCGCGTTGAATGTACGACATACATATTTTATCAATTTCTTATGACTCTTGAATGCCTTGGCAATTACTGTGTCAACCATTAAAAATAATTCCGGGTGTATTATATCTGCTTTCGTAAAATCTGGCGGAAAAAGAAAAGGTGAACAAAAACAAAGCTATTTTATTCATTCTTGCCCACACATATATAAATGTCGGACTTAGGAATACAAATATAAGCTTCATACACGGGGCAACAGACCGCCGATTAAATATTGCAACCCTCGTTTTTTGTGCTCCGTTTACCGCCAAGCTCACAGAGCGGCAGCAACTATGTGTTTATCCGACCAATCAACCGTCGTACTTGCGCCACGGGATCATTCCCTTTGCTCATGGTCACAAGCAGAGAAAAGGGTCTTGTGATAAACAAGGTCCGATTGCTCGGTCCGGAGAGTACACGTGGCTCTCGCTGCCGTGTGAGTTAAGCGGAGAAAAGATAAATAAATAATTCTTCGCTGGTTGGTTTGGTCTGCCGTTATTTTCAGAGAGAAACACGCCAACAACAAATATTTTACTGAAGAAAAAACATACACGAATTGTTAGATAAGGAAGTAAAACTACGTATTTTCGCCCAGGGCCGAGGTCATATTGAACACTCTTAGGGGCGGTTCACCGAGACTTCTGCCTTAATATTCGATGCGAAGATATTTTGTTTTCCTTTACACTATTACCCAACTGACAACCCAATATTTCGCGATTCATTTTTGACGTAGGAGATAAAAAAATGTGTTACCCTTCTTTTTTGCTCTTTCTGTAATGTTTTTGTGGCGTCTTTCGGACATCACTGAAACAATCAGATTAAAATTATCTTAATAACTCATTCGTCAATCACAACCCCTCGATGAAATCATTTGCTCTCGATCAAACAGCTTATTAAAAACGGAATCACAAAGGTCACTATTTCAATCGCAAATATAGACCTCCGCATTTTTGATCAAAACAAATCATTACTTTTTTTTTTAAAACATTGATGGATAGTTAAGGTATTTATTTTATTTAAAAAAGTAAACACATGAAGTTATTTTTGTTTCTGAACCCAATCTACAATTTTTCACAAAAAATAACAAATGCTAGCTTTTTAATTTTGTGTTTTTATTTTAATAAAAGCAAACTTGAATATTGATTCACGAGCACAAATAGTTCGACTACTACTTCTAGCCAATGCTCAAAAAGTCAAACATTGTGAAGGTGAGACTCTTTACGCACGTTATTTTCTGGAACTGCAGGAGACCCCACGAAGTGAATTTTGATTTCCATTGTCAGGTGAAAGCTTTGCGATACGCATTAACGAAAGGAGCCAGGAACAAGTGGCTTCGTCTGTCTGCTTCCACATCAGCTCAGGCTGAGCCGCCCCGTCCTGAGCACACTCTTATCACCATGAGGCCCACCAGATTGCGGCATTTGGTGATGAGAACAGATAAACTCGAATGACGAGGCCAATTTCCCTTATGAAAATGACAATTTGAAGAAACGCAGGCACTGCGTTTCTTCAAATTTCTGGTGTAATGCGCCAAAACAACAAAGACGAAAACGAAGGGAGAACTGGACACGACGCTGCGTAACTTTCAACTGAATGGTTTATTTCGATGACACAATTTTAAAAACTCAAAAGCAGGCACACTTGGCAGGGCACAAAGATACGATCTAAAAACAAACCCCCCCCCCCCCCCTTCATATGCCAGCGTCATTGGTTCTTCAAATAGTAGAATTCTTTATCAGACAAGGACAAAGAGGGTGCGCTTACACAATCATTGTCGTGGTAGGACTTAATTAAAAGGGCTTCGTGAATTTCTCTGGCCGTTTCTGTCTTGTAACGGCTGCACTTCCCGAGTTGGGACCACTGACTGTAGATTGCGCCTGTTAGTGACTGTCTGTGACGAAACCTAGCGTCAAGCGAAACCCCGTGTCTCTGATGTTCGTCATCAGCCATTTAAAGCACCACCTTTCTTGCACGCAGTGGCCGACATCTATATTAGAGTTGCAGGGACGCGCCGCAGGCGTCTTCGCCGATTACGTGGCGACGGGTTGGTGATGACTGCCTAGAGTTTTGAGGAGTGCGGGTACACCCGTGTCGTTTTGAATGTTTGCGATTGAAGTTGATCTTGTCATCTTGGATGTTGACACGAACGCGTAAGTTTCACAAAAGATTCCTCAAGTGTTTCGCTACAGCTTAGGTCAACATCATAATGTTCGTACACTTGTAGGTAATACCGCCCTAGAGTCGTTTTGGTAGAGGGAGGTGCTAAGATACAGACCATAGTCATTGCGAAGTCCTTCGTATGAGTCGGGGATCTCGTGTAGCCAATGTGCAAGGCGGCCATCAGATGACCGTTCCTCCTCAAGCGCCGGCATTATTCTTAACTTATTTCCGATCATTCCTTCCTGGAAAACAAATGTGAGTGCGACGATCAATTTTATTTAAGTTTTTCCACATGAGAAAATGGAGAACCAAGGCTCAGCGTATATCACTTGATCGTGCTAAATAATATGTGAAAGTGTATGAGCAGGCTGTCTTCGGAAAGATATTTGAAGGAATAAATTGCGTTTTTATTAACAAACAATACGTTTTAGAAGCACATGCACGGGGACATAGACCTCGATGTCACACAGATGGTACTTATGAATTCAGCACTATCTTGTAGGTTACACATGGGGAGAAACGAGACGATATGTCCAGCAGAATACAGGCTGTCTCAAATAGCGGCCAGGCTCTTTAAATCGACCGCAAAAATCGCTTTCTTAAACTATCGCGCTATACTTTTGTGAAGCGTCGCCCAGAGGTAGTGCATTTTTTATATAATTTCGAAGGAGCGAACTTACCTGAGAAAAAAATTAAAAAAAGAAAGAGGCTTAACTCTCGTAGGAACGAAGCGAAGCCACCGCTCTTGAAACAATACGACGCCGTTTCGCACGGGAGACAAGAGATGACGCAAGCGGTCGCGACGCCAACTGCCGCCAACGAACGAGCATACGGCGCCAAGAGACAGCGTCATTAGCAGACGATATTTTCGACTCAAAAGCGGCGCGCTTTGAGCAGGCGGCGACTGTCGCAGAACCAAAAACAGGCGCGGTAACAAGGAACTGCAATGCAATTGACATCCCTATTGAAAAATCCGGCAAAACCTTTTAGTGACATTCGGTGGAAACGTCTTATTTTCTACTCATTTTCACCATAAACCAGCGTCGTTTACCAGTCTGGTATTACCGGCCGCCACTTCCAGTAGCCAGACTTCGCTGGACCTTTTACCGGAGCCACTTACGGTTAAAATCCGGCAAAAGCTTTCTGTGACATTCTGCGGAAACGGGTTAATTTACACTCATTTTCACCAGAAACCAGCGTACTCTTTCGCTGGTTTACTTGAACCTATTACTTGAAGACCGGTGGCTTCGGTGCGTTTCCATAGGAGTTACGCATTTTGTTTTTTACTTTTTTTACAGGTAAGTTTCCTCTTTGCAAATATTTTTTGGACAAATGCACCACCTATTGGAAAAGCTCCGCAGAAGCGTAGCGCGATAGGTAAAAAAAAAAATTTTGCGGTCGATTTAAAGAATCCGCCCGCTATTGAGACAACTTGTGGTATAAGGCTATGTGGTTCCCCCTTTAATAGTAAACTGAACATGATTGAAGAATATGATCTTATAAGTTTGCGTGTAGTAATTAAGTCCATATTTTAAGTCAATATTATTCATAAATAGCGATAAAAATGGGGTTAAACATATATTTGTGGGAAAGGACGTCGAACAGTAAGATTACTGCTTTATGCTCCAAACACTTAAAACGCGCGTGTGCATGACCTTTAATACGTTTAAATATATAACTCTTTTTTTACTTTTCAGCAACGTTTTACTTTAGAGCGATTTTTACGTTATGTGTATACGTTCCTCCTGACCTTTCTGTCGCAATTGCGGAGGAATTTTTGAGCAAAATCTCTTTGTAGCACACGGGGAGTGCTAAGAATCTACCGTTTGGCTAATAATAAAAAAATCACCTTACCACCTGTAGCCCTTCCTCATCTGATATGGTGACTGACGCCATTGCATCTTCATCGTGAAAGAGGTCCTCTTCTAGATAAGATCCATCCAGCTAAATATTCAATAAATTGTTGTCAAATAGAATCATAACGCCCTAGCTCCAAGTTTTATGGTACTAAAAACAAGTGAACTTCAACGCGATTTTGTAGCCCTCTTATTCAACTCAAGTTTCGTGATTATAGACCTTTCGATCGCTCATCATCCGGGAGAAAATTGACGAGTCATTGAGCTGTGGAAACATGCGCACTATCTTATATAGCGCACAGCAGAGCAACAGCGCATGCTCAATAGGCGTGCCACAGCCCAGCAGACAAACATGGGTGTGCGCAGAAGGCGATTTTTGCAATGGTCTCTACTCGGCGTGAACTATTTCTCGCTGTGTACATCGCCAAGGCTAGCCTAGCGTCCACAGTGCGCCAACTCTCTCGAAGCATATTACGCCAAAGGCTGCGTTATTTCTCTCGACACCACCTCGGCGATAAAAGAGGCCGCCTTATCAACGCGTCCGCCAATAGCGAACGTTTGAACTTATTTTTTCTCCATAGCTATCCTCGGCGTTAAGTATTTTGTGCTGACCCGTACAAAAATGTCAGATATGACCCTGATATATTTTATATACGGCCGTAATGATAATATAAGGAGTCAAATATGAGCATATTCCGCCGTATATGGGAGCAAATACGGCCATATTCCGCCATATAAGTGGGCAAATACTGCCAGATGCGGCCCTATAAGTGCGTAAGTACGGCCTTGTATTGCCATATACGCGTGCAAATATAGCCCCTGATGATGATATATGCATGGACCCGTTTCGGTCGCGCAAGCATTAACTCATATGTACTCGCCAAGACACTAGTTGATTGATCTATATTGCACGAGTCTCATGTAATTGGTTAACTATTGTTAACATCCTTAAAGTGAAGTTATTCCAGGTATTTGGACCAATTAATCAATCGCCCATTTTGAAGACTGAAAGACAAATGAAATTTGGTTGTATGTTTGACGTGTGACAATATGGCGAAGTGCATAAGTTCGGAAAGCGAGTTCATCAAATACTGGATCTTCGATCGCAGCTCTTCAGCTCCCGTTTCCGAGTTAAGTGGTGTCGGCGTCGCCATCGGTGTAACCGCCCCGCTAAATTTAGCGAGAAATTGAATTGGTACGTATGTCATGTGACGTCAATGTTACCGCTAAATCTAGCAGTGAAACTAATTTTGTTAATGTTTCCCCGCTAAATGTAGCGGGGAAACACGAACTGTTGCGTTACTGAAGATGCAAGACGCTACTTCGTCGTCCCGAACCCTTTTTCCTTAGAACGGCTGCGAAGCCGTTGCGCCCGGAATGCGTCCTATGCAGCATCTTTCAACCACCGTTCGTGCAGCATCGCAACATTCCGTTTGCGAACGCGGCGATTTATCGTGTATTGGAAGTCGGAAGATGTGCTGTCCGTGGTGTCTTTTGTCTGTAACTCTTTTGTAAACAAATTGGAAATTTAAAAACGCGAACCTAACAGTGTACACATAATTTTAGATTTATTGGTAAAAATATATATACATATTTATTTATCTATGTATTTGTGCACATCGTCCGCAAAAAATAGTGGCGCTTATTTTTTCATTTAAAGTTATAATGTGGGTTATACATCGTAAAACATAGTATCTTCAAACTCGTATCGTTTTGGGTCGCTTTCGAGCTGGACAGCTTCTTTAGAAGTTCAAAAGCTGGATTTCATAGAGTTGTATGTTCACTCGGTATTGCAGCAGGGTAGACGCCATGCGTGTTTTAGGCCAATCGTGTCTCCGGTTAGGGTCACGTGACTACAGTGTAGAAGCTGGTGATAAAGCAGAACACGGCACCTGCCTGGAGCCCAAGGACACAAGTAGCATTCACTTCACTATCAACCTTGTGTACAAGTGACAAATCCCCTCGTTGTGGTCGTTGATGCCCCACAAGATGAGCCTTTTGTTTGTGCACTCCCGTTTTGGCCTTTCCTTCTCTCCTTTTCTCTCTCTCTCTAAGCTGAAATCGTCGCAGAAGGTGCGTGGTCACGTGGTTTGACGAATGACGCATTAGCCCTTGGCTATCTCGGAATGAGTTTTGCCGGGTCTAGTTTGGCGTGTGTTCGCCCTGCGTGGCTACTGCGGATTTCTGCTTCTGCGAGCAATTTCTTCGAAGAAGCCCAAGATTTTTTTGCGATGCGTTTAGTGTTCGGTTCTCCAAATTACAGCTTGTGCTACATCGTGTTGAATATCTTCACGGACACCTTCCTTCTCGTTTTTGAGTTTGAGTTTATCTGCCGTGCCCGTGTCGACATGTATCTTGGATTACAACCTTCAAGCCCCGTCTCGTCAACGTAAGTGCGCTGCAACCTACTTCGCGACAATTGATCGTTTTCCTAAAGGTACTCTTCCAGATTACCTCTAGAATTAGGCCGTGTCTATCTCCTGGCAGCGGGGAGAATAATTTCTCCGAAATTCTAAAATCATGTCACAACCGCAGGTAGAATACCGATTTTTTTATTCTCCCTGCGTTTCGTGATAACACCTTCCACGGCCACCTTCTCGTGGATACAGATTTCATGGACACACGTTTCGTCGACATTAACGTTTCGTCGATATTCGTTAAGCGCATGTCAATAATCCTGCGTCCCCTGGGAATTAATTTGAGCGACATCAGGAGTGGCGTAAAGCGCAGCTCACGCAAAATTGATAAAATTTGGTACATGCTCAATTTCCAATTGGTATTTTTCTTATACAGATAAGAATTCACTTTTGGTACTTATTTGTAGAAAACAGCAATATACCGGATGTTTTCCTTTATTCTTGCAGATTTGTTTTAAAAGGAGCCGTGAAAGCTACACTTACGCAGTTTGTGCGAGTGAGTTATACGCCCAGGGGGACATTATGTGGTTTGCTTATCTGAAGGCGGAGCATGAACCGACGGACACGCGCTCCGCTGTTCGCATTTCATTTGAGGCCGATAGTGCCTGCTCCACGAGGGGTAACCTTAGTGCACTACTACGCTTCTCACGCGCTCAAAGTCTTTCTGAAAATGACTGATTTAGGGGTTTGGGACGACGCTCAACAAGTTTCTAATAGGAATCATATATCTATTTTCTCTAATTAAAAAGTTAAGTAGTGAATTTCAAATAATTAGCCGACTTATAGCAAAGATTAGCCACCCACATAATGTCCCTATGGCCGTATAACTCATTCGCACAAACCGCATAAGTGTAGCTTTCGTGGCTTTCTTTAAAAACAAATCTGCAAGAATAAAGAAAGAGCACCCGGTATATACAGGTTGCCTTACTTGATTGGGACATATCTGGCCTGATATGGGAGGCAAATATACCCCTATTTGGTAAACCCAGATATGGATATTAAAAAATTGGGCAGATCTGGCTAGATAAGCCTTATATAAACTGATCTGCTTAATATGGCCAGATATGCCCAATTTTTTATATAACCTTATTTTTATATAAGTTCAGATATGTCATTTTCATAAGGGAAATTACGCAGGCATAAAGGCCGTTTACAAATTTACGGCGCCTTAGAACCGAGTGCTTTCTGACCCCTTGAGATCTCTTTCTACGAGAGAACACACCGGTGCCACCTATCGGATAGCAGTGGAATATTTGGCGGTCCCGTATATTTCCTGTTTTAATTCGCTCAGCATTCATTGTTTTTTGGCTTGAGAAACTTTTCTCTCTGTTTCATACGAACGTTTCTTATAAGAACATTTGACCCCGCGATACCGCAAATTCGTCTGTCTAGTGAAATTCAGTTTTATGGCTACCGCATAGATGGCGCCAGCTTGCCAGTGTGTTCTCTTATCGAAAGAGATTTTAAGAAGTTTTAAGGCACTCGTTTCTAAGGAGTCACAATTACGTGAACGGGCCTTAACGTCGCTTCCATACTACTCCAAATCTGTCAAAACTAGTTGCGCAAGGGCGTGCGAGTGAGACGCATGGAAAGGTAAAGTCAAGTACTATCACAGCTGCGCGGGGTTTCAGCGCAGTGAAAGTTACGATGGTTCTGTCAATGTAGAACATAATAGTTGACGCGTTTTCATGCGAATATTTTATTCGGGGGATGATGGAGCCACATGAGCAGAGAACTTGGTCATAAATTGGTAAGCATAGGGCGAAAAGAAGGGCACATCATTGGCCGCGATTATTTCAATGAGCTTGAGCGCGTTCATTGGCAGCACTTCTTACCAACTACAAGCCACAAATGTTCCTCTAGCAGAGGCAAAAAAAAAAAAAACTGAACTAGTATCTTCCAATTACAGTTTCTGGGTAAGGATGTACTCAAGCATTCCATTTCCCTACACAAGAGATGAAATTTGCGACGCACGTGACGTTGTAGTCACGGCGACGTCCAGTCACAGCCGCGGCCACGACGGAGTGGACGGTAAAAACAGCGAACTCAATTCCGTGGGAGTTTTACCCTAACCCCGAATGCGCACCCCATGTTCGCAGTTTCGCCTCATGTTTCAGAAACCTTCTTCTCGTGAATGTCGCTTTTTCTAGCTCAGTAAAGGCACTCAGCATCCGGAAACTTCCTATTTCTTACGACGTCTTATAATGAATCATTCACGTACTTTCAGCCTCATCCAGAAACCAAAAATACCTGCGCCGCGGTATGCGCACTCCTTCAAGGTCATCTTAGATATTTTTACTTCCCAGGATCATCGCTGGGGGAATACCTGGCGCTGGCGGCGCAGAATCTTTCGCCGCTCCACCCCTCTCCCGCCGGCTCCTCCCATTGACCATGCTCTCCTTATACACGGCTCTGGGTGATAACCCCTAAAAGTCCTATTTCAAGCGCTTTACTTTTCTTGTTTTTTTATTTGTTCTGGAGCGCATGGCGTTGACAATTCTGCGACAACATCTTGTTTCCCTCTTTTTTTTTTCTAGCGCCCGTAGTTGGCATTGGCTACTATCGTCCCTGACGTGGTAAGAACTGCACGGACAATCTTGGCTTGTCCCGCTTCCAGCGCGAACTTCCTTCATTCGACAAGGCCTCGGCATCTCGAAGCCCACGAGCGCGCTCGCGCAGGCAAGGCACGGCAGAAAGCTTGTAGAGCATGCTCAAGGCCATGTGCTTGAAAGACACGCCCTGTCGCTCTGATTTTATCGGTGGCCGTACAAGGAATCTCATCGCCCTAAACGGAACCACATTGAAGCACCCTAGACATGACACGGTGTTGCCTATGATCTTCAAGCGAACTGAGTGTGTGGCCTATTTAAGTTCAGGCTTATTGCTTTGTGATTGGTTCTTCGGCGTTCTTATCGGCTCTAGCCTCAGTCTTATTGGCTGCCGAACAATAATTAGACGCCAGGGACTCAGCACGCATTGAGTTCCTTATTCAGCTCTCAGGGACTGTGCACTCTAAGAAAAAATGAAGGAAAAAGATAGCAACGGTTCATCTTCCTCCCTTCTACTGACGCGCCCCCAAGCGGACACAAGAAGGGAGGAACGAGACGTTTTTCTCCTCTTCCAGGCAGGCGGGAGAAAGCTTTCGCCCTCCCGACTCATCTTCATTCGGTTTCGTTTTTCGAGCGGGTCGCGCACGTTGTTTAATATATGTCGTTGAGTTGATTGAGCTTCAGCGGCAGCGAAGGCCGCCTGTAATTCCGTCTTTTAGTCCAAACGTGCAGAACATTTCGGTTGCATTGACGTTTTTATCACTAATTTTATCAAACGAGCAAACGAAGCCGCTAGAAACTGCGAAGTTCCGGAGCAGTGCCAGCAGCACTACGTACACTGGGTAAGATGGCAGTCTCCGGATTGCGGGACCCACGCGGAACTACAGTAGCGGAACCATGCGGAGCTGTGTCGACGTTTTCGACGTTATGGAAATCGCAGGAACTGCGTCCAAGACAGGCAGGTTTTGCTGCCGGCTGCCTGGGTGCCTTCCGTGCTGATTTCGGTTCTGTTTTCCGATGCCGAGTGCCAACCGGCGTTCAACGTGGTTCTGTATTTCTGCGTGTCAGCAACACCGTGATGGCAGTGTTGTGCGTAGTGAGCAGAAGACTGGAATTATCGCCAATGTGACCGTATGTTCGCGTATCAGTGGTGTAACAACAAGATGAGATGACGTAAACTGTCGGGCATTGATGCCGCTGGTCGGACCGTGATCGAAGGGGGCCGGGTGTCGCAGGTTGACATTCCGCTTTACATTAAAGAGTTTAAGACCACTTGAGGGATGAGGTGCAATCGATCTACGTGCGGATAGCCATGTTGGAACGCTGGTCTGAATAGTTAGCTCCTATCGTACAGTAGCCAGTGTGACTGTCGGTTGTCTCCTCCCCGAGATTCGATTGCGCTCTAAGCAAAGGACTGAACAGTACGAAATTATAACGGAAAGTACGTGTCTTTACAGTGCGTAATTTTAGCATTAAAAAAAAAGTAGTATAAACTAAAAAAAAATGCTACCCTTTATTTCGCTGTTTAAATATACTACGGTTCCTGGAGAAACTGCCCTCCAAGTGGCGCGCTGGGATGAAAGTTTTCCAGCTCGCCACGGCGTAGCTCCGTACACTTAACACCTACCGCAAGTCGCGGCTTTGACTGCATTCAGGTTGATCGAAAAGCGATATCTTTGCCCGTGAAGCATCACTTCCAGCTGAGTGAATATCCGCCCTACAAGACGGCAATTGCAGCCGTGCGCGAACAGCACAAATAGAAAAACAAACACTACAATAGAAATGCAGGCTACGACGTGCCGTGCGGAGAAACAAACTCATGGCTTCGAACTGCATCGGAGCGGCTTGCTTTATTGTGCTTTCAAATAATTACGGCATGATCGAGCGTTTACTTTTTAATAATAGATTGATCCTTGAGCCATTCAAAATACTTTCAGAGGTATGACATTGCTGGAAAAGAAATCAACAAGCTGTGAATATTTTTTATTGCTTACGCAGTCACCGAGAGATTCCGTACGTTCAAAACGACCAGTATAAAAGACGGAAACGCAGATCTCGGGTGAAGTGTTCGGGTCAGTCTGCCGTTGTATTGATGTCTGTAAGTACCATACATGTGTATGCGCTTAATGTATGTTCACCTGATCCTTGTAGTATGCGTATGCGTGTGTACATGTGTGTACAGTACAGGTTCCCAGAGATAGCGAAGCGCGAGATGGCCCTGCGGAAGTACATATATATATATATATTTTTTTTTTGCAGAACATGAATGGAACGGTACCTAGCGCCATTTAGCCTAGCTACTTGCAATTACTCTGCTTGACCCCGCCATCTGGTGGCAAGCGATTTAACCTTCTTTCACGCTACGCGATAAACAGCGGCCTCGAGTTTGTTCTTTTGAAAGCGGCTTTTGGTTTCGCGGATGTGTTTGCCATTCCTCCGTGATGTGCGGTTGACGAAGGAATTGTAACTCAAGGAACAGCAAAGGTAAGACGTAAAGTGCGTGAAGTAACCGGGTATCGGTTGTCTCCGTTTAACATCGCAGTGCTGACGACGAGAAGACTAACTGCTTTCGAAACGCAAGTTTCTGTACCTGCGGTGGAAATCTGGCTTCGGAAATAAACAGTTCGCGGAAAGGTCACGTTACGCTTTTATTTGCTGCTCCTCTCGGCGTCCTCGTTAAGCCTTATTGGGCTCGATTTGCTCGATTCAGGGCCGCCATAATGAGATGCAGGCGATGGAGGAACTATTTGCTCCCCTGCTTCAGGAACGAAGGTTTCTCCCTTCCTAAAGGAACACAGGTTACAACACCGATCCTCCCCTTAGGGAGGACTATCGATACCCTCTTTTCTAAGAGTGTGGACAATACTTACATACGTGTGCTTGCGAATACCGTTGCCGTAGCTCCTCACTAGAAGCTCCTCGGCTAGGCCGGAACTTTTCCTCAGGTTTAGCGTAATGTCTTCATTGATCTTCAGGATGCGACTTTCGGACAGCCCTCGGCCTTGGAGAAACGCGGGATATACCAGCGATGGTTCGGGGTGGTGCACTGAAATTATAAACGAATCAAACCACCGGGGAAATTGGCATTAGTGGGATGAAGTATATTGTCGTGCACAGTTTAGGCAACCCAGGCCCAGATCACTTTGTGATCATATACTTCTTCTACCTTTGTAATCCTGTTTTCGCAATTTTATCGGCTAATGCCGACCTCACACTAGCTGCGGAGCGCTCAAAAGATGCAGGGAGTTCGCCACGCCTTGTGCTTCTTAGGATGCGACCGTGAAGCAGCGATTTCACGCTACCGCGCGCCAACGCCCGGCTTTAAAAAACAACAGGTTGCCCCCCCCCCCCCCCCCCCATTTAGAAAGTGACAGAAAGGGCTCTGCCGATACGTGTCGTGGGGCAGTAGTTATGGGACCACTTCTGCTTGTTGGACGAGTTGGTGCAGAAACTTCGACAACATGGGAGCGCTTTTAGACACGGACGAGAGAAGAGAACAGGATTACACAATGCGCTATCTTCTACTGTTCACTATGCAGAAAAATATCCTCTGCGCCATCGCGTCACTCAACCAATGCGCTGACCTGCCGTTGCTCGCAAGACCTGGGTCTCCTTGTCTCCCACATCAATCGAAGCCACGTTGACGCATCGATCCCGTTAACTTTTCTTACCGGGTCTACCTCTATTATTTTCCGCACCGTTTCATCCTTGTGTCTACTGGCGATCGTGAAGAACTTGAACTAAGGTTTGCATCCACAGTCATGACTTTGCATCGACAAAGGGCCTCTCCGTTGCCCACTCACTTTTTGTTTCTGTTCGCGTAATCTTGTGTTGACACAGATACTCAGTTCTTGCGAACAGCGGCTAGCCAGGCTATTGGTTAAGTGATGTGATGGCGCAGATAATTTATATCCGTGTTTTTCTGCATAATAAACAGTTGAAGTTAGCCCATTGTGTTGTCCTGTTCTCACCTCTCGTCTAGCTGTGTCTAAAAGCGCCACCATGTTCTCGAAGTTATGGGACCGCAATAGAAATAAATCGCTTCCTTTGAATTCGTGGCTGGTCTTGTTGATGCATCGAGACAGGCGGCGGAAGTCGAAAGCCACTTCCGGTACCCGTCGTGGATTCAGTCGTCCGTCGTCCGTGATCGACCCGGCCAGTTGGTTCGTATCGTCTCGATTACTCGAGTCACGTGTTACCTGCCTTTTTTTTTATTGTGCCTGTGTTGCCCGTACGCCTTTTGTATTTTATTATTATTCCTCGCCCGTACGCCTATTTGTCTCGTCGTTCTTTTTTTTAGTTTTCCGAATAGCGCGACGCGCTGCCACTTGATTTCTCTGGTGGCGTTTCGCGATTAGCTTGCCCGTATGCTCAAATTTTATTTTGAACTGTCTTTCTCTTTATCAAATTCACATGTCTGCTTTTTTTTTTTGTCTATGTTAGGTGCCCAATCTTAGCCTGGTCTCTCGGGTAGCATGGCCATCTCGCTGGCGTCCAACCTTATTCACGAACGACGTCCGAGCCAGTCAGTCAGGGAAACAGATCGGGAAAACTTAACAGGTTTATTCCACAGCGAAATATCTGATCGAAGACGACCGTCCCTCGAACAGTCGGGGTTTTTGTAGACACCAGAGGGAGAGAAGCATTCCGTGGGTGGTGTCTTCCCCTGAAGCAACAGACAGCAGTCGGACCATAGAATCTCTCCCCCAGAAAGAGCTTTACGTTTGGGATTGGCAAGACGACCATTATCCCACACCCCACACTCCCAATCCTATAACGGGGTGGAGAACAGTTCCAAGGTCTACAAATTGGCCGCTGGAAAATTCCTGGATTGCTTCCCAGCAGACAGCCGCGCCGATTAATTAACCTCCTTTCACCGTGACAGATAAGCACACGGAAGGCCAGAAACACATATTGTCGCATTCCGTCGCCTCAACGCCATCCGCAGGTAGAGGTCAGAAGGGTTGGCACGTGAAAGAGAGGAGTCCTTGGGCGGCGCTACCGCTTAAGCGACCAACGCCAGCCAGGCAGGGCAGGCCCCGAGCGTTCTGCTAAGACTGGGGTAATCCATCCCCCAAAGTGGCCCTAACAATTGGAAAAGTTGGTTCGACGTGCTTGCCACGCGCATACATACACAGGGAGATGGGGACGGGACATAACACCCATGTCTTTCAAGCTGCGAGCCAAGGTCAAAAAAGACTCCAGCGCCGCGGAGCGGGGCCGGTCCGTCGTCGGCTGACGTGCTGGCCCTCATGAACTACGTGTCCGTAGCCTTCAATCTGGTGAAAGAGCGTATGGCAGCCGGCACGGGTGGGACCGGCGGCCAGCGCCAGCGTGCGGCCCCAACTTCATTCTTGGATCGCGGTTCCCGTCTACACCAGGTTCGACGACCGCAAGTCCGCCGACGACTTTTTGGCAATGCCGGGTATCTACGCCCGAGCCTCCAGTGCCTCGGAGGACTATGGGCTGAAACAAATCTTCTCCCTTGCAGTGCAAGCCTGCACAAGACGATGAGCGTTGCAAGCTCCCTTCCTGTCTCTTGGGGAATTCTGCCGCAACTTTAGAAAAGACTTCCTGCCACCGGGGTGCAAGCCCCGAGTCTAGTGCTACCTCGAGCATCGCAGACAGCATGCAAAACAAGGTCTTGTAAAGTACATCCGGGCCGTGCAGTAACTCTTCAACCGAGCGGTGCAAGCTGCTCCCGAGTCGGTGAGGGTTGCTCGCATCGTTCGTCAGGGTCACCTCTGTTACCACGTGTATCTTCATGGGCGCCCCTACAATACGGTTGGAGACATCGTCCGTGCGGCATGAGCCGTGCAGGAAGTCATCCAGGTACATGTGAACTGCAGGCCGCCGCCCTCAGCTGCGGCCATCGAGCTTTCAATTGCGTGGGTGTCCCCGCACGTGTTGATATAGAGCGAGCAACTCTGATTTGGCGTCTCCCTGAAAGGAACGGCACCCCGTTTAGCAGTGCCGCGCACTGGACGCCCTTGACTACAGTTGGAGCGGTATCGGGAGGGTCGATCTTGTCAAGACAGGCTTGGTTTGCGATGAGCCCAAGTCCCGCGGATTCTGGGAAGCCCATCGAGGTAACCGGAGAAAAACCACGGGGTCAGCCAAGAGCGCGCACATTGGCAGGAGCCTGCATGTTCATGGTTGGAAGCCTGTCACAGTTCTCTCATGGCGAAAGCCGGCTGCACAACAAACAACATGGAACGCTTCATTAAGCCTTGTCAAATGAAGTTTGGCAGCTTGACAATAGACGAGAATGGTGCAACGCGGAAAACCGAGTAGCAGAAGGCCGACGGCAATCCGATTCCTTCTAAAACTGTGGACAACGTAAACACTCCCGCAGCCACTGCCCCCTTCTGGCAGCCCCGTCATCAGCGTGACCATAGCTCGAACCAGGGAAAAAAACCTGCATCGCTGAACTCTGAGATCTTGTCGCCGTCGGTCACTGCCAGCCCCGACGATGAGTGAGTCGCCGGACATTCACCCTTATGCATGTAGCGTATACGACCTACGCACCAGTGTGCCTAGCCTCGAATGACCAGTTAATAACTTATCGTTCCTTTCGCCGCACTTCAAGTTTGCTTCAGGTTTAGCCTCAAAAGTAGCAAGAGCTGTAAGGCTCGGCATTTCTTTAAGAAAAAAGTGACGTCAGCTTTATCTTATTATATGCCAAAGTAGAACGTGCCTATTATTTTAGGCCGAGATTTTGTCGTAGGCGAAAACCTTTCGCTCTAGTTTGGTGGTGACAGATACCGGCTGGAAAACCAATCTGAAGTGACCCTGTTTATCAGGCGAGACGACCGCATTACCGGCGCGCCGAATACACGACGCTAGCTGCTTCAGCCCTTTCCGCCGGCGTCCGAGACGCCCTGCAGGCCTGCCCAGTCTATAGCGTACAGATGCAACAATTGGGGAACATCTTGCAGCCGTTCACAGCGTTGTTCACGGAAATCCCAGGCAAGACCGACATGCTTCTGCGTCGTATCGAGACTGGTGCCCGCGTAGCAACCCATGCAAGGCCCCTCGGCGTCCCCAAGCGAGCCCTCCTGTGCGCATCGCTGCAGGAGATGCTCACCACAGCAGGTGTGCGCGAGTCCTATAGAGTCTCTGGGCCTATCCCGTCGTCATGGTTCCAAAGACGATTGGTACGTCTCTGCGTGGACAGTCGCTGCCTGAACGCTGTCGCAGTGAAAAATTCATACCCATTCCGCTCGACTGATTCGATCATGTACTGTCTGGAGCAAAAGTTTGGATAACACCGAAACAATAACCGAATTGCATTACTTTTACATTTGCATAACGATTACTTCTCCGAACACATTCGCGTGCCGTCCCTTCTCATGCACTTTCCTTTCCGCGCTTCCCTGTTTTCCTTCTTTTCTTTTCCACCTTAATCGGGACTCAATCATGACAACAGTAAATCCCGGAAAGATTCAACTCGTTTAATCGCAAATTAGCCTTCTTGTTGTTTTTTTTATTTCATAGGGGAGTTCTTTGCCCAATAAGGCAGCTGCGCGCGGTATCCTATTACCCGAAGCTGCACGACGTCAAGAGCTTGAGACACTTTTTATGGTTGATTAAATTTGACCGACATTTTGCCCCACAATTTGCTGAGATCCCTAACCCCTTGAATGTGTTTTTACGCAAAAAATGGAGTGGAAATGTGTACTAGAGCAACGGTACGCTTTCCTCCAGCTCTCGAAGGCAATAACCGATGATATTTTGGTAATTGTCCCGCTTAAAAGCGCTAAAAATACGAGGACCAGTAAAAGAACACACCCACACCAAATGCACTCTTGGTGTGTGTGTGTGTGTGTTTTTTTACTGCTCCTAGTTTTTTTAACGCTTATTATTCGTCACAATGTATCACCAACTAGACCAAGTGAATCCCGTTATGGTGTTTTGTTAAAGTTGCCGGATCTCAACAACCCATTCGAACTCAAACAGATGCCATTAACTTCAGCCCTGGCACAGTCCCGCGTCAGGAATACGGTGCTCTTTGGCCGCTTGCATTCGCTAGCCGCACGCGGTTAG